CAGACCCCACAGGGGCTAAATGCAGCTGAAATCAGTACTGGATCACCCATTATGCCAGCAACTTCAAAAGGAGAACAAGGAGTGCCAGACTCCAAAAACTAAGGTCCTCCAAAAACTAAGAGCAGCACAGTACTGCTGCTTGGATTGTATGGGGGAAGGGGTGAGAGCATGTCCTTCAGTTCTCAGATACTCTGTGCAAAATAGCTGTTTTTGAACCCACAATAATACATGCAGCTTTCTAGTCTCTCATAACATGAATTAATGCATGAAGTGTGGCAAGCTGGGGTCTCATTATACCCAGCCTGCATTCACACTGGTATGTTCTGCCCCTTTCCATCTTTTCTGTTTAGCCCTGCACCCTCACCCACAAGACAGGCTGAGGAAGGAAGATTCTTTGCACTCCTCTTCAAGACATTCAGTCACTTTCCCTGTTTGCAGGTTTCTTTATAGCAGGAACCTGTGCATTTAAAGTGTTTTTAAATGGATATGAACAGATAAAGGAAATCAAGAAACTAATAAAAGTAACATAACGTTTGCCTTATAATGTTCTGTTGGTGAAAAAAAATCACTTCGTTCTTCACCCACCACTGCTGTTCCTTGCTCTTATAGTTTCAGATCTTTTCTCACCCCAGCAGGAAGAGAGGGAAACTTACTGTCATGAGGAAAACCAAAAGGAGAAAGCCTTCTTAGCATACACATCCCACTGGGAAGCACAGGGTTTAGCCCAGATGGCTCACAACAGATTCCAACATGGCCAAGTGTAAAGAAGAAACTTCCAAGCCATGTGTTTGAACCATGATGGGCAGTATTCCCACTGCAGGTAGGTGAAAGACTGGCACTCAAGACTCCCTTCTATGTTTTCTGACCTGTCCACTTCTGTGCCTGGAGAAACCACATAATACTGTTTCCAGTGATTGCTGTTCCCTGAAATCTAATATAAAAGTCTTGAGCTTTCTATTATATACCAGGAGTTGAAAAAATAACGGTAGAGTCAGAAAGCCTTGACAGACAACAAAGTTAGAAAAGCTTGTGGCCAGAGCAAAACAAGTACATAGTGAAAAAAAAAGATGTATAGCAGGTATTTAAAGTAAGCTACCTGGAAATACAGTACCATATTGCCACATCGTATGTTTAATGTTTACCAGATCTTCCCATTGACTTCAATGGGAACACTTGGCTTTTATGCATGAAAGATTATGCAGGCATAGCATAACCACCACAAAAAAAAAGACCCAAACCCAAAATAAAACAAAGGGTAACAAAATCTCTAGCCGCAGAAGAAGTAAGTGGACAAGGGCAATGTGAGTAGTGAGCAAAGCTTTGTAATAGGTTGAGGCAGAGAGGTCTGCTTTTCAAAAAACAAAAGCACTGAACTGAAAGAACTAGAACAAAGAATTTACTTAGAAAGTAATACTTAAAAATGGAGATTAGGAGCATAAGGACTGAACCAAAGACATAAGGACAATTTACTGACATACATTAGAAGCAAGAAAACTGCACAACAGTTGTCTGGCAAGTTTGAAATAGTACTGGGAAACAAAGGGAGTGAATAAAGAGGAGGCAAAACACTGCAGAAAAGATAACAGCTGATTATGACTTTGAGATATTTAGTGATGCAAAAAAAGTAAACTCACCCTTTCTCACCCTGTATGGCTATACTAGCATTTCTTGTTAGCTGTGGTCTTGATCTGAGGTATTTAAAAAAACAAAAGGGCAAAACCAAAGCTGTACACCCACTACTTCTTCCAGTTCAAACTCAACATTATACCTCCTAGTCTTTCATTTTCCAGTTCTCTTTAACCTTCATACCAGCCAAGAGCACCGTCCCTCCAAGATGGTAAAACCCACACTCTAACAAGTTACAGAAATAAGGTGCCCCTTTCTTGGTCAGAAAACCAGAAAAAACATGACTTTGTAACACAAAATTCTTGCATAGTCCATTTTTCGAGCAGGTGGAGCAATACTGAACTTACCTCAACTTCCTGGATACAGCTCTTTTTCTCCTGATACCCAGAAATACAGACTGACCCAAAGGCATTTTTCATCTTAGAAAGAAGTTATTTGCATTAATATAGGTGGAAAAACCTATGATGTTCAAGTGATCAAATTCTCTTCTCTTTTCCCTCCAGACAGCAAAGCCCATTAATCAATTCTTTTGCAAGTAAAGGGTGAAGGAGCAGCAGATACCAGAACAGAAAGTGCTAAAATAACTGGGTAAATTAAAAGGCAAGCCATTCTCAGGACTAGATACATACACTGGAGTCTGAAGTAGCTCAAAGTTGGAGGCAGGGTTTCCAACAAAAATATGCACTCTCCTATCAGGAATGAAAGGGTAGCATTCCTTAAAAAAAAGCCACAAATGATGATCTAGATTACATGCCAATGAATTTTAGCATTTGGTAAACTGTCTGCAAGGCTACTTTTGAAAGATTATAACTTTCATGCCTAAGCAAAGATTACATAATGAGAGAAAAAACAACATTGCTAACATAATGAAAAATATGTCTTTCCTAGGAGTGCTTCTGCACAAGAAATTATTATGTATTTGGCCTTTCAAAAGGGCTTTGATAATGTGTCTCATAAAGACCATAAAGAAAACAAAGCAATCATGACTGAAAGTTGGAGTCATGATTAAAAATGAGCTAAGAAGCCAAAGGTAAAATGTAGGAATAAAAAGACATTTTAAGAAGAAGAAAGGTTAATAGTTGTTGCATGAAGAAGCGACACTGGTACCAGCTTTTAACTTTAGTTAGCACTCTGGGAAGATCAGCTGTAAAACAGAATGGCAAAACTGACAACTGACAGGAGTGGTTTTGGGTTACTGAAGGGTTTAGTAAAGTTGAGTGGATGTGAAACACGGAAAATATGTTTTTCATAATTGCTAAGGAAATCATACTGCAACATTCTTGACAAAGAGAAAAGAACCGGGTGCCATCATACCAGGTTGACAAAAGCTTTTATGTACATGAAACAGTGTCAAATAAGCCAAGTTTCACGATGCACACAAAAAAGCATGGAATACTGTATTGAAAATATTACCCTTCTAATATATGCCTGCCAGGGAAATAACTTCATGGAGAATGCCATCTACAGTTCTTTTTACCTTACCTCATTTAAGCTACAGAAGTAACAGAAGTGCAATGGCAGATGACTAAAATGATTTGATTTACAAAAAGACTGCCATATATGAAGACATAAAGCTATTAAACTCTTCATGTTAGTGAGCACATGAGCAACAGCATAAACAACAGATACACACTTTGAAAGTCAGGAATTGTAGCCTGACTTTCTCACCTACTTCCAGTCTTCCAGAATGGGAGATCATTCAGTTAAATTAAATAAGAAGTAAATTCAAACTACGGAAATAAATTATTTTACAAAGTGCAGGCTGAGAATGTGAAAATCAGCACCACAATCAGTCGTTAAGGGACATCAGTGGGACTCTGAAAAAATACAGTTCTATTCATGGCCTAGAAAAATATAGTGTTAAATGGGATTGTTTGCTGGAAAGACCATAAAGACCTTTGTGCAACGCCACGATAAAGCCATGGGCCAAGGGATCTAGCTGGCCCACTTTCTGACAAGGAGAGGGTATTCCAAAAGGATCAAATGTTGGTTGTCTTCACTCTCCATTCTCTTACCAATCACCCTATTGTAGGAACTGTCAGGGTAGACTTAGCATTAATTAGACTGTGGATCTGATCCAATGCAGTAATTTCTACTTTTGTTTCCTATGGCCAAAAGCAATGGCAAAAAAAAAAAAATAGACAAGTTCACTGTTAAAGAGAGATTATTCATCCTCTGAGCTAGCTACTGTGTGCCTGGTAACAATGCCATCAATGCATTGCTCAAACTTCACAAAAATACTTCAACACACGTACGTTTACTTTGCCACCTGCTCCTCCCCTCACCACAAATAATCAGCAAGAGCCTAAATTATAAGACATTGTTTTACTATACATGTTTCCTTGTTTGTTTTATTATCTTTTTCCCCATCCACACATAATTATTTGCAAAAAACATTTAATAATTACAAGACATTCCAAGATGTGTGTCAGATCCTGGGATACTGCCACTCGCATGGTGGTTTGCTACACTTAGCCTTCAGTCTTGTGGCTAACAATTCACCCAAGCTGTGAAAAAGCCTCACCACAAGCCACACACTGCTGCTCTTCAAAGGAAAACAAGGATACGTAATTAAGAGATGATGAGCTCAAATTCAAGACAAGAGATGTGGGAGCAGATTCTGCAACCACACCTTTGAGTGGTTATGCTATTGAAGAAGTTTCTTCAGCTCCATCTTCATGGCATCATTAAGAGTCACACATTTTCAAAATACATTTGCTGCACAACATTTGCAGCAGCAGAGACAAAAAATGAGTGATAAAACCATGCCACTGCAGAAAAATTGCTTTTACATCAATTACACAGGACACAAATGGTAAATAAGAATTATTAACAAACAGCCCTTGTAACAAGTGTGGAGTATGTCTTTAGAAATATAATAAACTGGAAACACTGTCAAAGTCCCATTGCACAGGAATTGTTACCTGAAAATAATCTCAAAGTCTCATTCCAAACTTTTGTGATCCTGTAATTGCCATAATAATATAAAGAACTATAGACAAAATTATCTGTATGTATATGTGCCAGCTCAGGGGCTAATGGTGCAGCATACTGCTGCATGGAAATAAAAATTAAAATGGGTACAGACATATTCTAGAGTCTACCAGATCGGTCCCTTGTCGGATATCCAGAATAAACAACACATCAAACCACCTTCCTCATTACTCTATAAAAGTTCAAACTAGTTTTTGTTGGGTTTTGTCATGACTAGTGAAAGAATTGAGAAATCCGGGACAAAACAAGATGCGAATAAAGCTACCAAACTCAGGTGAGGACAACTGACATTCCTTCAGAAATATGCATTAAGAAATAAAACGATTGTGTGCTTTCTTGATTTCTGATTTAAAAAAAAGTGTAAATAAATTCTGTTTTACCTGGAAGAAGCCTCACTTTGTCACGACGAAGGACCGCGTCTTCATAAGTTAGTGCCCGTTTGCAGGGCCAGATACTCTGAGCAGCAGCCACACCCTCCTCTTCCTCATTTTTTTCCACTGACCATGGAATAACTTTCTAAGCCAGGCCCTAGAAAGAAAAAAAAACCAAAACACAAACCCAACACATTTTTAACGGACACCAGATACCACACTGATGATTTAATTAGGCAGATTAGAAACAAATCAATATATCTGTGCACATACATTTGCATTTTCTGTTTCATTTGAAACAAATTTGGTAGGCCCGATTTGGCTCTCTGTTCCTATCACAGGAAACAGAATTAGTGTTCTATGCTGACTGCAGAATCAAGCCCTCTATCTCTTTTCAGAATTTAATATAACATGTTTTCTATTGGTAACGGAAATATTCTCAAATTAGAGGCTTTTCAGAGTATCTCCAGGCAAGCCTATGTATTTTGTAATAGCAACAGACAAGCTTAGAAAGACCTTCCAGAGGTTGACTCTTCAGCCTGTTCTGTGGATTTGAAACTATATTCAATGGATTTGAAACTCAGGCAAATCTGTTAATTCTGACTTTATTTAAAAAATAATAAATTTTTTTTTAAATAGTATTTGAGTAAAACTTTCCTGTGTTATGCATCACTTATAAACTCACCCAGGTTATCATATTATTTGAATCACAGTATCTTTACCATAGTTAACAATGATACTGCATAGCAAGTATCACCCAACATGTCCTTACTCTTATTATATCTCATGCAATTTATTTTATCAGTAATTCAGCAGTGCACAGAACTACTTGGAAATTGATTGTTGCTATAAACAGTTTTGCATATTGTATCATCTGCTGGCTTTAATCCATTAGTTAATTGACACTGTAATTGCACTACATTTCATATTCTATTTAACCAGAGAATATTTAATATGAATACAAAGTGATAAAAGCAAGTTTTTCCAGAATCTCAAAAAACACCCACTTATTTTCAAATAAGCAGCTCCAGCATTCAACAACAAAGAAAAAATACAGTATTTAGGGTTCAGCAGCTTAAGCTTTTTTTTTTTTTTTTTTTACAAACAACTGCACAATTATTGTTCAGCTATCAGTAGGGCTGTGAAATTAGTATTAAAATAAGCTGCTTGTTTATGTAAATGTAAAACTAAATATGTAACCTGAATCCGAATCCACAGCTCCATGCTATTGTGTCTGCTGAAAGAGCAAACCAGTATTAAAATAAAAATGTTAATGGTATAGAAATGTGTGTTAGGGGATAGCACATCTTACAGGTAGCATATTAAATAACGCAAGTCTAAAATTTGTAATCCCAGCACCTACGACATATTTATTAGTGTACAATTCCATACCCACAGAAGAACATTTTTATAAACAAATGATACACTTTTCTATGACTAAAGATTGTTCAGTTTCATATAGTCCTACGTATAGTTCGTATAGTCCCAACAGGCTTCCAATATACAGTATTGAAATCTCAAGGCCTGCATAATGCTGCATTTTGCACAACAGTAAAACCCAATTAACTTACAGAATGATATTAGTACTACAGTATTTGTAGACATGTTTATTCAAGCAGAAATCTTTCTTCTCTGAACTGCAGAATATTAGGTGATACGTGCACCTCTCATCATACTCGAGTGCTCCCAAACACAGCAGCACTGACTTTTAAATCCAGATCTCCAAAGTAGGGAATAATGTTAGCACATTAGTATTTTACTGGTCTATAAAGATTCACCCTGCAAAATCCTCCCATCCACCTATTCCAGATAAGAAAAGCACACTTACTCAGGACTGCATTCATATTTACGAAGGTGCTCTGCGAGAAAAGGAGCAAACAGAAATCCAAGGGTTAACAGAAGGAGAAAAACAAAACAAAACAAAACAACAAACCACACCACCAATATCCCCAGCCATACTGAGACCTTGCAAGAAAAGGAAAATGTTCATCACATAACAGCCTAACAAAATCAAACAGAGAATTTAGTGTCTCTGTATTGCCTGGATACCAGTTTGGGATTTAGGCAGCCTTGGATTACTTGAAAATCTAGCCCACAGTTCCTGCACTGTTTTCTACCAATACCAAATCCAAACTGTGACTAAACACCTCATTATGCTTCTCTGGCACTGCCTGAAGCAACCATATTGTATAATTTTATGTGGCACCTGAAAGCGGAGGGAAAAAAACAGCTATTTTTTGTACCAAACGGTAATGAAATGGCAAACGGCAAGTTCTGAGCAAAACCTTGCATGATCCCTATATGCTCCCCCTCCCACCCTTTTCTTTCTGTGGTAAGCAACAGGTGACAAAATACAGCCCTCAATCTTCAACTTTAACAATGAGAAAATACACTTAATCTGCAAGACACAGATAATATACCGGGGGGGGGGGTGTGTTTGTGTGTTTGTGTGTGTGCACTTAATTAAAATTGAATGAAGAGGTCTAACCGGGCCTCTCCAATTGGCTTCAGAAAGTAAATGCCTTTCTTAACATTAATTTGTAAATGTTTCATTAAAAGAAGATACAGCCCTCCCAGTTACAAATAATAACCAGTGGCTTTAGGTAACAATGTAGTATTGACAGACCTTAAAATAGAAAAGCCAAACTGCATTTTCAAAGAAACTGCCTGCCTTAGATACTCCACTACAATCTCTTTTTCCTATAATTTGCTAATTGATCTTAAATACGTAGGTGAATTATGAGGCAACAACCTCCAATTTTCCTACCTCTTACTCGAGACAGACATTATACTCTGATTTATGAATATCTGAAATATTTAATTTGCTGTTCGTGGCACTTCAACAGTTAATCTAATTTCTGAGAAGTAAGAATCCCACATTAAAGATACCTTCTATTTCCTCCTTTAAGCTTCACCACTTCAAAAGCATTTTTCCTATCTATTATTATTTAGAAACAGTCTTCCTCTGCGCACTGGACATACTACTGTAGTTCAGGAGACTGTGTATCAGCGACACGATTCCTTTGCCAGTCCCCATGCTCCTTATTAAATAATTTTACTCCAATATGTACATACACATCAAGTATAAAGAAACTGCTGCTTTCAGGTACATCTCACACACTTCCACTGCAAGCTTTAGAAAAGAAAAATCACAATGCTACAAAAAATATCACCGTCTATTTCTTGAGCATTATATTGCTCACACTGCATTTGTAAAGCAGTAGCGCACTGCGCTGTAGCGGTACACCTGTGTCTCTTCTAGCAACCCATTACAATTGGCTAAAAACCTTTGATTCTGTTAATACCCATTTCTCAATTCGCAAATAAAAGGAATCTTTCTTTAAAAGACCCTGTTTCCTGAAATATTTAAATGCTAAAAAAATACATTAGTTTTCTATTTGGAAGGTTTGGCAATTTCCTCCTTCCTCCCTTTGCAAACATAAAGCTTTGCAGCACCAGCGAAGAGTACCCAGTTCAGCAGATGGTTAAAATTCTGCATCATTTTTAATAGCCTTAAGAGAAAGCACTGCCTTTTTTTCGGGGGAGGGGGGGTGTGGAGGAGAGGAAAAAAAGCTGAGAACAGCAATTTGCAGCTCTTTTTTTTTCCTTGACAGCAGCTAGCCACGCCTCAGTCTGGCCCTTCCTCCAACCTCTGCTAACCTAAAAACCAGCGCCAACCTGGCAGCGCGCCATATATTCAAAAGTAAACATTATTCTCCTGCCATTTTTCGGTGGCGTCTATCATATCCCGATCTTCTTTATTCCCCCACCCCCCCACCCCCCCCTTCATTCCCCCCTCACCGTAGCTGAAATCCCTGCCTTTGCCCCGGTTTGTTTCACTTTGCAACTCCATCAAGACATCAAAGTCACACTCTTACCTAACAAGGCAAACTTGCAAAAACGCGTTACAGGGATTTTACCTTCACCCAGTGAAGCTGCGGACTATTTTGGAGCGGGAAAAACCAAAGTCAGGCGTATCTTTAGGTGCTGCTGTCCCACAGCACTGGAGGGTACGCTCTTCTCCATCACTACAGGCACGGTCTCCTCTTGACACCATGCACACGCTTCTCTCAGAGCCTGTCGCTCCCGTCACAGAGCTGCCTTCGGCTTCCACAGCTTTCCCAATTTCTTATTTTAATTGCTACGGGAGCGTTTAAGACGATAAATCGGATCGACAAGCAGCCGTAAGGAGGCACGCACAGCACTGCACCTGACTCTTTTGTTATCCCTCACCATCCATCCCCATTCCCTGTCCCTTCCGCTCCTCGCTTCCTCCTCCCACCTTGGTCTGCTCCTCATTTATAAAGGCTCTAAAATAATATATAAAGCCAAACAAACCCAGGCTAATTAAACTAGTTGCCCGTTACTGGTTGTTACCTAGCCGTACACTGCATTGCATGGACAGTTGACATACCGGCAGAAAAAGATGAAAAGAGGGGGTTATGAAAAAAAACAAATAGAGGGGGATGCTGCCGCTTGAATCCTCCGAGCCATCCCCTCCGGCTAAGAGCCGGTACTACGGAGGAGAGGAGAGGCGAGGGGAGCCGCTCCTCCCCGCTCCATCCCGCCACGGGCCGGGGAGCGGAGACTAAACATCGGCCATGTTGTGTCCACGCCGCCTCCTCCTGCCCAGTCTTATCGGGTGAAGAAGGAACTGGCGGCTTGCCAAGCCGCCGGTCGCCAGGCCGGTGTCAGGCGAGGGCAAAGTTTATTGTTCAGCGGTGGCGTTTGTATCTCGTGAGGTGGTGGTGCCCTGTTATTTCTTATTTATTTTCCCTTGTGTCGTCGTCCTTCCCCCCCCCCATCTCAGCCTGTCAGCGACCGGGTCCGACGGCTGAGGAGCGCCCGCGCGGCAGCAGGTAGCACCGGCTTCGCCCCTCACCCCGCAGCCTTCTCTCCTTTTTCCTCCTCCTCTCCCCCCCAGCTTCATTCTCTCTAGGCACCGTGAAGTACAAATAACGCGGCGAGCTTTAGCCAAAACAGGCATGTGCGCGGAGCCGGGCGAACAAAAGCCTTTATTTATGTATTTGAGCCCGCGCACGGCCGAGGAGGAGCCTTTGTGCGCTCGGGCTTCACGCACATCAGAAGGGAGGCGCCGCGCTGCGTTCCGCGGGCTGGACGCGGCCCGTCTGTGAACGCCGCGGGACGGCCGCGGGGCTCATTAATAATTGCGAACGGTTCGCCATCTCCATATTTAAATCGCGAAGCGGCGGATGATTAATTAAAGGGGGGGAGGAGGGGGGGGGGAGAGAGAGGAAAAATAACCCCACAAGGCGCAGGAGGCAAGGCCCGCCCGCGTTAACTCCTTCCCGCCCGGGCGGCACGGTGAGGGGCGCGCAGGCCGCCCTCAACACCCTACCCCCGCCTCGGCCGCGGCCTGGGAACTTGCGGGGAATATTAATTCCGCTATTTTTGTGTGGTTGAGCGACCACGTGAGGCTCTGAATAGCCTTGAACTAATGAGGAGAATTCGCCGCAGATCCACTTGTCATTAGGCTTTTCATCGGGGAGAAAAGGGGGAGAAATACAATTAAAAAATGGTTTATGAATTTTAGCGCGGTTGTAAATGGGCGTATTTTATTTCAGTGAGGTTAAAGGAATATTTACAAAGTTACTTCTACAAAGAAATGCTGCAATTAAAATCCAGTAAAATGTGTAATTTAAACTCATTGGAGCGCTCCGAACTAAGGAAATACTTCACGGCGAAACGCTGTGATTAGCTTGTATGCAGGATCCCAGATCCTCAGACATAAATGAGGATGAGTAATAAGGATGCTGTATACAGTAATCAAAATATTTAATGATAATTTATCAGCGAGCTTAAACTTCAGATTATTCTGTTTCCCCAAGCACTTGGTTTTCAGATCTAAGTGTAACAGATGCCAGATTTTTATTAATTTTTTATTATTTTGTATTATTTTTATTCCTCGAAGAGGCAGGCTGTATTTCTGACCTTCCTGCTGCCACCCCTGCGCCTGCCCTTGCCTCTTATTCACTGCCCCATGCTTGGCATCTTAACTGTTTGATTTTTGCAATCTCTCCATACTCTGATGTCCAGTTATTCCAGAATCTCACCTGTAACTGTTTAGTGGTTTATCCCCATTTAACCTTTAATTTCCTTGGTTAATGTTTAGTCCTGCACAGCAGACAAGTACTTAATTTGGCTGGAGGGTTTGCAAAATAGATGAACTGTGCGCCAAACTGAAGCCATCTTCTTTTGTTAAGCCAAGGACGTATTTATATGACTTACTAAGAGCCTTTGCAGAATATAAATCGTGGCTATTACTTGCCAGGTGGCTCCAATTATTCCACTGGAATAATCTCTCCAGGGAAGTGATGGATTCCCCAACACTGTACATTCTAGGCTTTGGCTGGACAGGGTGCTGGGGCATCTAGTCTAGGCCATGCTTTGCTTAGAAGGGTTGGACCAGATGATCCTTGAGGTCCCTTCCAACCTGATAGTGTATGATTCTATGATTCAAACAACCTGAGTTTATCCAGGCATGATTGGATGGAATGAAGTATTGGATGGAGCTAGTTACGCTTCATCTTCTTCGTATGGTCAGTTTGCAACTCAGTACCAAGTTTGTCCTGAGAAGCTGTAATCCCATTGATATTATTCAGCATATAAATTAACATTCTAACAAAGATGAAAGGGAGAGGCTACAAAGTGAAACAAATGCACCTATAAGGCCCCAGTTTAGGACCCTAATCCACAGATGATTGGTATTAGAAAGAAATTTTCCCCTTCTACATATTCATAAATGCATGCCTAGTGAAGACCTGAACTACTTCTAATGCATTTGGTAACTGCTCCAACAATAGGAGAGAGGTGAGATACCAGTGGTCTGATCAGGGATGGCAAATTTTTATGTTTTCTTCCTGCTAACAACATTCTGTGAAAGTTGTTACTGGGTGTAATCTGTTTATCCTTGTAATACCTGAAGCCACACTGAGCAGCTTACCAAAATCTGTAACTACCACTACCAAGAACATTTTCTTCCCGTTTGCAGATCAGAATAAAGTATATTCTGCTGTGCAATATGAAGAGCAACTTGCTATACCCAAATGTTTTGCATTTGAGTTGGCATCCAAAAGTAAACAATCAAACACAATGCATGCTGAGAAAATCCTAGCCTTTAGATTTAGACTTAGGAAGGCAGGGCCAAACTATTGAGATAGGTATTTGGTTTTAGAGGCTACAGAATTCTTTGGAGGACATAATCTTTTAGCTATAAAAATGTTGATAAATACTTGGTCTGAAATGAACAAAAAGCTTGCAATTCTTTCTTAGGAAGTTTGCTCAATGTAGTCACAAGAGTAAATACCAAATATTTTGTTACAGCAAGTGAAACGCTTCATATACCAAAATGTTCTCTGCTCTCAGTGTCCATGTATATTTACTAGTTTTCTCCTGTTTAAAGTAGCATGATACTGTTGCAGCTAATATTAACTAAATAGTTAAAGACGCATGGATAAAACATCAGTAAGACTTTAATTTCTTATTTCTAAAGTAATTTTCAGACCATGTAAAAATGTGTTTTTAAAAGAATTAAAGGTATACTGAGGGTGTTAAAACTGGAAAAGTCAGTAACAATTTTAGTAAGTTTTTTCTCATTTCATACATATATGTTCAATTACAGACTTCTCAGTATTATGAAGCTTATATGGGAACTGGCTAGTGATTCCAAACCGAACATGCTGGCTTAAAATGATTTCTGTGCTTTGTAGTTGAAAGGAGTATAGGGAAGCTGCACAGTCTTCTCTTATTAAATTCTAATGGAAAAAATACTCCCTTAAAAAATCTTCACTACATTATTAAATGATCCAAAAATATGATAGGTGGGGCTAGCTAGCACAACTGCCAACCGTTATGATTGCCACATACCTCCTGTTACAAGACTGCATTTTCAGTTGCTTAAAGACTTTGCTAAACCTAAACTGTTTGGCTGAAAATTTCCCTCACCAGGTGTGTGCCTCAGGGATAACTTATTTGAAAATCTGCAGCCAAACAGCTTAGACCTTTCCAAGAACAAGCCTACCCAAGCATCGATTGTTGGGTCCATGCTGGCAAATTACAGAAACCTTTTCTTTGAGAAGCTCCTGCACCGTCGTGTTTGGGTAGAGATTAGGATGGAAGGTAACCTGTTAAGGAAGTAAATTTTGCTGCCTCACTCCAGCCAGGCTTTAAGCATTTGAAAGCTTTGTGTATATTTGCTAGGCCCTTGCTGAAGTTCAATAGGAAAAATTCCCAAATATCCCACCACTTTCACTAAACGTGCTGTTTCCTCAGAGCTGTCCAGGTTGATGAGACGGTACATAAGCCTACCACATGTTCTGCACTGGAACTGTATAATTCAACCCTGTAATGGCTGAACTAGGCTCAATCAGAAGAACCGATCCAGGTACCACAAAGCAAGCATTTTTGGCTTTTCTTACTTCTCCTGCTTGCATCCAGACAGTCTAGTGGAAGTTGTTTGGTTTCAGCATGGAAGAATTAATGATATCAGACCAAAATAGAATAAAAAGAAGGGTGAAGGAAGCAGGTTGGGTGCAGAAGATGGGAGCAGGCTCTCAGTCTGAGCAGGCAAGCTAAAACTATTTTCCAAAAGAAATTGGACTTCTTGGCTGGGGAAGCAAATGGGAGCAGGCAGAATAAAAGGCAGTGCTTAGAAGCCAGGATGTTGTCAAGAGAAAAGAGGGAATCACCAACAACTCTGTGTTGTTTCTCTATAGATGTGCTTTAAATAGGCAATTATCTGCTTATTGCCATCAGTTGGCCCAAGTAGCTGGGCACTATGGGGCAGCTCAGAATATTCCAATCCTTCTAATGACTCATTTGGATGTTACTAGACTGCTACAAGATAATATCTCTGTAGATACAATTTGCTTTTAAACTCCCCCATCCTACAAAAAATGACATACACAAGCACGTGCCCTCACACACACACACAGATATGCATACGTGTTTTAAAACAACTGTTAATCTTGTTCACACAGGATTAAGGAGTATAGAATCAAGAAAAAAAAAAAAAAAGAGGAGTAAAATCTACTGTGCAGCAGCATTTCTACTATACGGCCCTTGCATGATACAGTTCTCCCTCACAAGCCTGGATGCCGTGTTTCGTGCTGGGTCACAGCTTCAGTAAGTGAATGGAACAAAACAATGCCAATATTACCAGCTACTCTATTTTGTATTCTCCCCTATGAACAAGGTGCAGCCCCATGTTTTACTTACTGGATGTGTCTCAAACTACCCACCGGCACCTGAATTACAAGGTTTTCCTGTGGCAGTTCTTACCATTGTAGTCCTTGAATGCTTCTCAGAGATCCACTAATTGATCTTAATGGAAATTCTGTGAACTAAGGAGAGATACTACCCACATCTCACAGTAAGAATCTGGCACAAGTAGCCCCTCTATTCTGGAAGCCCAAACTGAGAGATGAAGAACTTGGCTTTTCAAGTTATTTGGCTTTTATAAAGTACCACATACATACATTGGCACTGCTTGTTGAAAGCACCTTTCCCCTAGATTTCACTGGCAGTGTCAAATGCTTGCCATAGTTCACAACCAAATAAGAATACAAGGAACCAAAATTAACAGACTTCTAATTTGAGAGTGTTAAAAAACAAAAGTAGAATACTTGATCTAATGTGTTTCTGCCAAATCCACACACCTCCTTCTTTACAAGGCAAAGTTTTAAAGCAAGTACTACCATGCGTTAGGGGGTTATGTAACATTTCCCATTACCCCAGTTCAATAAAACTTGTTTTCTCAGCATTACGGTGTTGGAACACAATATAAAATAAGTTTTAAAAACTATTTTCTATCCTTTAATATCTTTTTTTTAAGCAAATATTAAGATTTGGGGGAGGAGTGACTCATAAGTTGCGGAGTTGGCAATACAAGTAATGCCTTAGGGGGAGGTGTAATGGGTTGCTGAGCCTTTCCTTTTTTGTGTTTGAGTGAATTGCAGTACACATGGGTTATGATTCACGGTTGCTGTAACTGATGACTGCTCAGTGGTCCACATGGACTGACTCAGGTGTTCTGAACCAAGGGCAAATACTCACAGCACCAAGTGCCCACAAATAATATTTGCCAGGCCAAAAAGACATCAACTTCCCTCCTTATTTTGCACAAAAAGAAGATTGGAAGAGTACAGAGAATGCACATTTCTTTTCCATTAATAGAAGTGGGAGGATGCATGGTCAGAGCAGCCAGGGGAAGACCATAGTGCTCTTACTGGAAAGTCTGCTGATATCGGAGTTTGTGGTTATTTTTTATGACTGTTATTCCAGCAGCACTTTGCTCAATTTGTTCTGCATCTTCTCAGTTTTCATTCTTTTTTCTTGAATATTTTAAGCATTTTGAAGAGTGCCTAGAGCTGAAAATCGTTACTCAAAGAAACCTGTATGAACATGAATGCCAACGTTAACTTTTACAGGCATCTTTGAAACACTCTGCTTGCAGTACTGCTTTAACCTAGCTATAGAAGCAAAATTCAAAATGGGACAAATCCAAAAATCATGGAAAACATGAGTTGTGAAGTTAAATGTGAGAGCATTTGAAAAGAAAAATGTGTTTTCAAGGTGAGTGATTTTGTAAGAACTCATTGCAAAGAGATCTAACCGTCTTGATAGCAACAGGAAACCTTGAGCACCAAAAGACAGGCTGGGTCTTTGGAAGAATAAGCTTCTACATCATAATAATAATCATCCATAGCATAAAGATGCAGACAGCAAAGATCTTTGAACTGAAGTGTGGTCAGATGACAGTTTCCAATAGGAGACATGGTATGCTTTAGGGAAGCAGCAAACAGTTGCCTAAGGATATGCTAGATTTAAATTACTCTCCAAGCATGATGACAATAGGCAAAATATTGGTAACATGATTTCTGGTAGAAGGAGCAGCATCTTCTCAATGGAATAGTAATGACCATTTGGGTTGAAATGTTCTTAGTACGGTGCTATAGTGTGAAAACAACCTTGCTCAGGGCAAGCTTGACCAAGGCTGAAGAAATTACTCCTAGAAACAATTCAAATAGTCCAAACAGAATTTTTAAAGAACTGAAGCATAATTTTGAAGGCACTCTTCTGATCTATGATCTGGATAAATGAAAATTCATGTTCTTCCTTACAAATTAGTTTGCTCATTCTTGTTGTATGCTAGGACTTCTCTACAACTTCTCAAAAAATCCACTCACATTCTGGAATCCTAGATGATCTACATGGAAGAAATGTCCCAAACTAACTTGAATTGTTGGCTAGTCTTTGAACATTTTCAATGAAAATATCCTCAAACCGCTTGCATGTGAGAGCAGCTCTTCCATTTACTTATGGAATGTTACAGAGCATTTCTTACAGAAAGGTTACTTTTCATTTTTAAAAATGTTTCTTTGGAAAAGGTACAACTTACCTCACTGCACTCTCATAACTGGGGAAAATTAATCTGGTCTAATGAAGAAAAAATAGGAAAACTAGGAGTTAAAGTTGCTATGCTTACCATACTCACTATTAATTTGGAAAGGTAAAAAGGCAAGTGAAAAAAAAGTGCGTAAGAGATGAGAAAGTACTGGGGCTTCCTTCTTAATGTGGTTCCGCAGCACTCAACTGTGGTTTATACTCAGAGTACAAGTGCAACATATTCTGGAGCAAGACATACACTCCTGGGAAGTAAGGCTGATACCTAAGTAGAAAAACAGTGGAAGAAATGGAAAAAAAAAACCCAAACCCAAACAGTCCTCTGTTCAATGAATTGAAAAAGTCAAAATCAACCAACCAGGAATTTAAGGCAATCTAGTTAAGTGCTATTTCCTAGCTTGTGTTTCTTTTTCTCACAGAGTTCAGTGTTATTGAAACACTGCTTTTTGTTTATGAATTTACTTCTAGGATAGGACTGCTTGACAAGCAATGTTTATGCATTTTGTCATATGTCATTAGTTTCTTTCACATTAACTATGCGTGCTGACACAAAAAGATACTTCCACTTTTTTAGTCTAAATAGATTAATTTTGGAATTCTTTTAAAATAAAATAGATAATGAAAAATGGGGTGGAGTAATGCAATCAATGTGAATTCAATTGCATTTTTAAGCATATTCTGACATTTGAAAAAATGGCCAAAAACATTCTGCCTGCTTGTTTTTATACAGATACATCTGTCAGAAATTCACACACAAGCTTGTATGGGACTCCTAGTATTGTGTGTGTTGTAAAATAAATCTGGATTGGTCTGCTCCCAATCTAAATATATTTGTGACTAAAGCTCTCACATGCAGATAGAAATCTAGCAAATCAAAATCTGTTTCCAGGAGCTGTAACTTCTTGAATTTATACACAAAACCTAACAGGTGATGAAAAAAAAATACATCAAAGATTACTTTAACTCTATCATAGTACACTTCTGCCATTAGATCTTATTTCATTGAATGCTTTGCACCTTATTGGCTTTTGTAGATTTGCTTTTGTATTTCCGCTTTGCTATTTTAAGATGTATTATCTTTAATCCAAAATCTGACATCCTACCTAAACCTACTTAGAATTTCTATGGTGAAATCTCATTGAGTGAAGATTAGTGAGAATTATGGATCTTTCACGGTGCAGTCAGAGGGAATGAACCAACCACAGCACAGCGTAACACAAAAATGTCTTACCCACCTTTAAATTTTATCAGATCAAGATTTAAAGCTACAGAATATGAGGGATTTTTTTCTTCACTGAGCAAAAATAATAGAAGACACACTGATATATGTTCAGCTTGTACTTCACAGCAGAAAGCCTCAGAGCTTTCTTACGTTCATGTATTCTTGTACTATGGGAAGAACTTACAAAATGCTGCGTTGTTTCTGTAGAAAGATGCTAGCAGGGATTCAAATCTCAGAGTGGAAGGGAGCTTAAAACAGGACAAAACTCATCTGGAGCTTGACTGCTTTGTAGGAAATTCTCTTATTTAGAGCCACCACAGATGTTTTGCCTGAATCTGTCTGCACATGCAATTAACAGAAAATGAACAGAAAATTGTAATTATTTGGGAAAGACCAGGGCAATTATTTCAAAAAAGTCGGTTGAAGCTTTTATATCCAGTACTTTCTGTTCACTTAATATACAACACCACTCCCCATTTAAAAACTCTTAAGAAGTTATTCTGGTTGTTATTTAAGGAAGCTGGAGTCTATTGTACATTTTGAAGGTATCAGAATTACTGAATATTTAGGTTGCAGTACTATACAGGGACTATAACTTCTGGCCTGACTGTGTTGACTGCTTATTCGCTAAATTAAATATCTTCAATTTTTAATATATATATAGTAGTTTGCTCTGAAAAAGTCCCCAAATTCTGAGTTAGGACATGACTCTTTTTTAATGAAAAATATGCTTTTTCTGCAACAAAAATGTTAAAAGTTAAAATTATTTAAAAATATGTTTTCTTACCGTAGTAACTGCAGAAAATTAAAAAGAACAAGATACTGCAGTTTGGTTCTCGTATTTTGTGTTTTCACACCGTATTTAGTTTCGCATTTGTTAAACAGAAAAAGTTCAAGATTAAAATCCTTGTGAGAGGTTTGTTTACAAGAATACAAGCCAGTTATTGCAAAGTTATTCTTTGTATGTGTAGATGGGGAACAAGTTCATGTTACTTTAAAACAATAGCTTTTGTTCTTGATATATATTTTAGAGGAAAAAAGTATTAGCTGCTGCAGCACTATAAGCTCTTGATGTATTGAACAGTAGAGGAAATAGTCTCAGAAACTATGTAAACTGCTTCCAGCCTGAACTTAGCAGGCTGCTTTTTTGCCAGTATTTCAAAACATGTTTAGCTGAATAAGCATATTTTCAACATTACAACAGAGTGTAATCACTTTTTCATCTGATCTGCTATTCATGTACGCTTTATTACAAAAAGGTGGAAAGTTATACATGGGAAAAAAACAGCCGTAAAGAAATTCAAAATGAAAAATGTCTCTAAAACATTTTCCATTCTCCTCCAGTACCCTCCCCAGTAAAATGCATGGGAAAACCGTATGTAGATGATGAGTGCATGACCCACATGGGAGTTTCATATAGCTTCCTTTTCTACTGTAAGCCTCACTGGGATTCTCTCTCTCACCAGCACTAGCTACTGCATGGTGTATGTATGTCGTTTAAAATATTTTCTTTCACCTGAAGTGAGTTAAATGGCTTAAGCAGCCCTTGAGAAATTGCTCCCTCTGCCACACCACGCCAGCACCAGGGATTGGGGGTGTGAAAGCTCAGTCTTCTAGCAGAGAGGAGAGAGGTGCTGGCACTGAGCTCTCCATGAGGAGGCCTCCTGCCAAAACAGCCAAAACACTCAGACAGAAGTAGCTAACCTTAGAGGACACAGCACAGACCGTTTATCTGCTGAGGCTTAGGAGAATACTGAAGGTTGCAAATGGGATACAAACAAATGTATATCACTATATAACTGTGACAGGATTACAGGTCCAATTCTCCTCTCCAGTCAGAGGCCTTACACCTCAAGACTTGAAAGGACTCACCATTTGTGCTGATTTGGACTGGGATAGAATTAATTTTCTTCATAGTAGCTTGTATGGGGCCGTGCTTTGGGTTTGCACTGGAAACAGTGTTGACAACATAGGGACGTTTCAGTTACTGCTGAGCAGTGCTTGCACAGAGCCAAGGCATTTCCTCACCTCACTCCACCAGCAAATGGGCTGGGGGTGCACAAGAAGCTGGAAGGGGACACAGCTGGGACAGCTGGACCCCAACTGACCCAAGGGATGTCCCACACCATATCACATCATGCTCAGCGTATACAGCTGAGGGAAGAACACAAGAGGGGAACGCTCATAGCGATGGCATTTGTCATCCCAAGTAACCGTTACACATGATGGAGCCCTGCTGTCCTGGGGATGGCTGAACAGCTGCATGTGATGGGAAGTGTGACAGCACAAGGGGCAATGGGTTTACACTAAAACAGGGGAAGTTCAGGTTAGATATAAGAAAGTTCTTTACTGTGAGGGTGCTGAGGCACTGGAACAGGTTGCTCAAAGAAGTGGTGAATGCTCCATCCTTGGCAGTGTTCAAGGCCAGGTTGGATGAGGTCTTGGGTGACATGATCTGGTGTGAGGCCTCCCTGCCCATGGCAGAGGGGTTATAAGTAGATGATCTTAAGGTCCTTTTCCAACCCAAACCATTCTATAATTCTACGAATTCCTTGTTTTGATTTGCTTGTGGCATGCAGCTTTCACTTTACCTAATAAACTGCCTTTATCTAAACCAATGAGTTTTCTCCCTTTTAGTCTTCTGATTCTCTCCCCCATCTCACTGGAGGGAAATGAGCATGTAGCTTTGTGGTGCTTAGTTGCTGGCTGATATTAAACCATGACAGGTTTTCACACATTCAAACACTCGTTCAAGTGTAAAGGGAAAGATAACTAAGACAACAAAGCAGAACCCATATGAAGCAAACTGCAGAAAACAGCTCAATGTCCAAGTGGAGATGAGTGACAAGTGGTGTTCCCCAATGCAGGTACTATCCAGAGGGACCTTGACATGCTTGAGAGGAGAGGTAGGTCAGTGCCAACCTCATGAAATTCAACCAAGCCAAGTGCAGGGACCTGCACCTGGGTCGGGGTAATCCCAGGCACACCTAGAGGCTGGCCAGAGAACAGATTCAGAGCAGCCCTGCGGAGAAGGACCTGGGGGTGTTGATTGATGAGAAGATGAACATGAGCTGGCTTCAGTGTGTGCTCGCAGCCCAGAAACCAACCGTATCCTGGGATGCATCAGAAGGAGTGTGACCAGCAGGTCGAAGGAGGTGATCCTGCCCCTCTGCTCTCATGAAACCCTACTTGCAGTTCTGCATCCATTTCTGGGGGGGCAACAACACCAGAGGGATGTGGACCTGTTGGAGCAGGTCCAGAGGAGACCACAGAGATGATCAGAAGGCTGGCACACCTCTCCTATGCAGTCATTTGGAGAGAATTGAGCTTCTTCAGACTGGAGAAGAGAAGGCTCCAGAGAGACCTTATAACAGTGTTTCAGTACCTAAAGGGGTACTGGAGCGGGACTTCTTACAAGGCCATGTAGTGATAGGAAAAGGGGGAATGGCTTTAAGATTAAACAGGGGAGATTGAGATTAGACATTATGAAGAAATTCTTCACTGTGAGGGTGGTGAGGCACTGCCACAGGTTGCCCAGAGAGGCTGTGGCTGTCCCATGCCTGGCAGTGTTCAAGGTCAGGGATGGGGTTTGGAGCAACCTGGTCTAGTGGAAGGTGCCCCTGCCCATGGCAGGGATGTGGACCTAGATGAGCTGTAAGGTCCCTTCCAACCCAAATATTCCGTGATTCTATGAAAACAACATTCCCACTCTTTTTCTTTCCAGACTTCAGAGGAGACCCTTTGCTTGGCTTGTGTAAAAACCTGCAACTCAACCAGAACAAGATCGGTTTGCATCAGCCTGGGACCTGGGCTAGGCATGGACAAGGCTGGAGGCAAATATCACTGTGAGGGCAGCTCTGATGTGGTTCAGTTACCTTGCTGGAGAAAGATGGTATCTGGGCTCAAGATATCATTCAGTTTAGTCATCTGGTATGGAAGAGCAGAGCATGTGGTTCAGGAATGCAAGCTCATACTTGTTTCTAAATC